TTATTGGAAGTGCCCCGAAATCCAACCGATTCCTAAAATATGAAATATTAAAATTGCTTTATTTACAACTCCCTGGAACCGCTGCTATGCTGTATTTATGGAGAGTTTACTGTATTAGCGTTCGTTTTGAAGTCTCTTTTCATAGATCTTCTTTAAAACTTGCTGTTATACAGACAATTTGGTCTGTCCATTTACCGATCAATCGAAATTGCTGACGAAGAACAGTCATTACGATTAGAGCCTGAATGTTATCAATTGTGGCTTCATGTTTTAACGACATCAGAGCCATGGTGTAATCCTTGAAGAAAGTTAACAAAGCATCGGTCCACCTACTTTATAAGTCGCTTAATTATTTTGTTAATCGATACAGTTTATAATGAGTTTATTAAAAGAATAAGATAATAACTGTATTATGCGCCTGCAAACATAAATTTGTTGCACATTTATAAGTGAATGGTCGAGACACCTATTATTATACCATCCTTCAGCGAGATCGAGTTAAATATTTGAAATAGAATGTACACAAAATAAATTATACCACAATAGTATGCAAGAAATCATATAAAGTTCAAGCATAATCGTAATTAATTATGAATAGTTTTTGAAATTGTTACGATTAGTCGCGCCGGATATTGCTCAATTAAGCCAAGTCAGATCGAGCGACTATTATTTAATTTACTCGCGTATTATCTACCTCCATGCGAATTAACATTTTTCGAGATTTCGAATTCCAGGGCTTATTCTTTACACAATTCAGGGTAGCGTTGGATCGAAGATAGTTGACGTCATTTAGCTTCAATTCAATATTTTGGGGATACGAGTCAAATAGTCGCGGGAGCTCGATAGCATTTGCAATCGTTAACAAATAAATGTCAGAATATTTTGTCAGCTACTGAATTAAACGACACGTATTTATACCTTTACGCGCGGGATTATTCTTCGTGCGACTGGGCAGAAATTTGGAAGTACTGCTGTGTCACTCACCACCATTCCACTGTTGAGGATCAGAAAATAATCATGTGAACGTGCGCCATTACCAAGTCACTATCTGTTTCACGGAGTGGTCTCACGGATCTAACGAAATGAAATCTGCTACTAGGGAAAACCTAAACGTATACATTGATAATAAAGAAGATATGTGTCGTATATTCATTCCCCCTAGTCCTCTTGAGTAGAAGGTATCATTCTGCGAGCCTTCCGATGCAGATCTGCAAGGTACGTAGCATTCATACTACCGTTCTTATTCTGTACATTGACGGTGTGCAAACAAAAAGAACTGGTTTGTCAGTCGGTAATATATTGACATGTATTAGACTGATTAATTGCATTAAAGGATTCCCTCTTTCATGACGTTGTGGACTCGTCAAGTCCAACCTTTAGACGTACCCGAAATATTGACCATTCCTTTGGGAACAATTAATATTAAATCGGGTGTGGGAATTGTGCGTGCGATCAACAACGGAATGACAATGTGGAACCATAGCTGGCTTTTTATGATCATAATGTTCAAACGAACAGTTGCGGTGAAGCGCGAGTGTTTGCACATAAATCCCGCGATCTTGATGATTATAGAATGTAATTGGGAGAATGGAGAATGTAATATGTAAATAGCTACGTGCTTGGTATGCTCAAATGAAAAAAAGATTCGTATATTAGCTCTAGTGCTAGTAGCTTGGAAGTATAGCTGGAAACAGGATCCATACTATATACAGGGAAGCGACTGCTTCGTAATAATAAAGACAATTGTCTAGAGCATTGCTTTTGGCGATTTTGTTATTAATTAGCAAATTTCTGTTACTATTAAACTATCCATCTCATACTTCACTTGAAGACAGCGGCACGCCGCAGATGGAAGTTCGATGCGTAATGGATTTTTGTATGTAAAGAGTCTTGGATGCCTTGTTCAATCCTTTCTCTCATGATAAACCCCGCAACATCGAGTTTAATGTGCAAGGACTGTTCACATTCATATACAATAGTCATTACATCTATACAAATAACTTTTATGTAGACAAACTGATAATGTAAGAGTAGGGATACTGGAACAGACGCACAGAGGTTTGGATCCCCCAATTCCGTAACCTTGATTCGTCACCCCTTTTATCTCGTTAAAAAAAAAACTCGCTGCGAATTCATCGCGCTCTACTCTGTCCAGATTTGGCATACGTTGTGTAGAGTATGGCAGATACTGAGATCTCTGAAAAGACAGAGCTTAACAGCGGTGACTTTAAGATTAACGATAACGTAAATTTATTTAGTAGCTGTCACAAGTCTATCGCATGAACCATTTACTTTGTGCACTGACAGCCCATCTATCTACTGACGTTGCAGTCTTCACTCGACCAAGAACATCCCAGTACCAAAGAAGATATTTACATGAAAGAAGAAGACTTGGAAGAGTCAAAAGGATCTCCTCTTCAACAACCACTGTCTTCATCTATGAACGGAGATTCAACCAGACGTGATCGAGACGCCTCCGTTACTCGTGCTCGCTCCCGGTCTCACCGCCATTCGTCCTCACTAAGTCGTTCTCGTAGTCGAGGTGACAAAAGACGAAATTCAAGACGTCATAGGCGTCGCTCATACTCAAGAGACTCGGACAGCAGGTCTAGAAGCAGAACGCGACGGTAAGATGTTTGATTTATACGTACAAGTAGGTAAGAGAACACAATTCTTAAGCCTGTTTTCTAATATATTGACAGAGGGCGTGAGAGAAGTCGTGATCGAAGTGGAAGTCGTGATCGTGATGTGAGCAGAGGACGTCGGAGATCGCGTAGAGATGTAAGTATATCTACTGTGCTAAGTCGTTTCGTTACCGACTAGTCGGGAACTTTTGACTTATTGTTTTGCGCATTGAAAGCAACCTGCCCCAAGTCATGTTTTAGGAGTCTTTAATCTAAGTTTGAAGACGCGCGAGAGAGATTTACAACAAATATTTGAACAATATGGCAAAGTCAATCAAGTCATGATTGTTTATGATCATAGGGTAAGTAACAATTAACGAGAATAACGGAAAGACAGTCAGAAATTAAATAGCAAAAAGAAAAGAAAAGAAAAGAAAAGAAAAGAAAAGAAAAGAAAAGAAAAGGAAAACAAATTACAAGACAAATGATTCTTTATTATCATCTAGTAAGATAGAAATATACGCTTATTAATCGCTTGTTACTTCTCTCTAGACCGACCGTTCTCGTGGTTTTGGGTTCGTCTACATGGATTCAGTTGAAGATGCAACTCTTGCAAAAGATAAAACAAACGGAATGGTACACTTGTTTATTCCTATATGAATTTTCTCAACCCACACACTTGACAATCAGTTAATTGTTACTTGGTCTTTACTTTTAGTTACTTAATAGCAGAAATATGCGTGTTGATTATTCGCTCACTCAAAGAGCACACACACCGACGCCTGGAGAATATATGGGAGATCGTCGTGGAGGTGGAGGTGGAGGTGGTGGTGGAGGTGGTGGCGGTGGTGGTGGCGGCGGCGGCGGGAGACGTCGCAATTTCCGCAGGTCGCCATCATATTCGCCCCGCTATCGCAGGAGTAGCCGTGGCCGTGATAGGTCGCGTAGTCGTAGTTGGTCTCGTCCTCGGAGGAAGTCCCGCAGTATTAGCCGCTCCCGAAGATCTTGGAGCAGATCGAGGAGATCTCGAAGTTATTCGCGCTAACCTGGTAAGCGTTTGATGGATGAGCGTTATTGCAAAATAGTACCGCTGATTGCAATATGCATTATTCCTAAGAACATGATTTCGGCTATTAACAATACTAACTTGTGTCTTTCTTTATAAACACAATCAAATCTCGTAGCCTTTCGTTTGTCGGACTGAATTTTTTCTCAATTATATGCTTTGTGTATACTTTCTGCTAGTGAATATTATAGAGTTGTGTCGATGAATAATGTTTATTCCAGGCAGTAACGAAACAATGCAAGAGAATATTCGGGTGCCGTGTCAATGAAGGGTGAGGTGTAGTTGATACAAGAGCTAAGTAATTCCCCATAGCGAATTTCAAATTCAAAAAAGTTAAAAAGTGAAGAATTCACACATACAACGATACAATCGTCGGAAGTCTGTGATAAGCCTAATCGATAGGTGGATGTATACGGTTTGTGCTGTTGATGGTCCCTATTTTTTTTTTTTCATTTCCCCGTGTTTCTCTTCTGCTTTTCCCTTTCCTCTTCCCTCCTTTCCTCGACATGCTCTCTCCCTATACCTCTCCCTCCCCCCCTTTTTCTTCTTATCATAGCAGTGAGTCGAATAAATGCTGTGAGTTTTAAGTTTGTCAAAAGCGGTTATATGGGAAATCATTCATGAATCTTCCGCACCGAAAACTTATCGAGAACATGAACAAGCAAATGAAATGAAAACTTGCGGTCGCATTCGAAAATGAAAACTAAAGAAAACTAGAGAGAAGCAAATTACGCAAGATGGAATGTACTGCGATCCTTCACTTCATGAAGAGTATTATAAATAAGAAGTCGTCCGTTAAGGCATCAAATCTACATCGAACATGAAGACCTAATTGTCCTATGGGATTCAAATGAAAATAGTTGATAATTTGAAATCTCCGCAGTGGCCTTGTTCACGAAATCATAACTATTCCCATGTTTACAAGAACCATCAAAGCCAAGAAATCAAATCTATAGAAGAGAAATGAAGGGGCATTGACCAGAGAAGGCAAAGAAGAAATTTCCAAGATTATTGAATGTAACGAATCTTTATTATCGAGAATTCTTAGATTATTTCTTTGAAAACATCCCAATGAAAGTATAAGCTGACCAATGCAGCCTATTTCTTGGACCGCGTTTGCTTTAATTAACATCGAAAAGGAATGTTTTTAAAAAGAAGTCAGTCCGGATGTACTATTCAGTTGTGGCGCAGTTATAGGTCAGGTGAGTTTTCTATTGTGAGAGTCAAGCCTCTTGTCATGAATGTATGATATTAGTTGTGTCTAGTTTGAATTGTATGCAATGTATTTCATTATCCTATTTTCAATGGACTTAAACCATTTTCTGAGTGAGAGGTATACAAATAACGTATAAGAAGCCAGCACAGTTTTCATCAATATCCTTGTACTAATATTTTATAGGTGATTAGTAAAACATTACGAACTATATATTATATTTATATGTATCATTTGTTATTAATGCCGTTCTGTCTCTCTTCTTTAGTAGATAGTGGTATGTAACTGGTTGTTTTACTGACAATCACTTGTTGTTGAGCCTTCGCATACGAGTATATTATTCCAGCAGTGAATCCTATTACAATAGATAAATGTAACGAATTTGACATCTAAATAAAATAAAATAATCTTACAACTTGAACCAATAATAGTAGCCATCTTACCAACTAGAATTGCCGAAGCATTTGCAAATGTTACTTTATCTCCAAAGAATACCATGCCACTTGCAGCGATGGGAAGTTTGTTCAATGCGCCCACCATAGAGTACGTTGTACTCGAAGTAGTTCGTAAGCACCATGCAGTAGTAAACGATATGGCAAAGGCGGACGCACCAGAGAACACTATAGCAGATATAATAGTAGTGCGAACTTCCTTTGGACTATGATTACAAAAAGAGGAGGGGAATGATATTATATAAGTCGAGCGTTGTTAACTCCGCTGTTATTCACTCGTTATACTTACAAGTTCCTCTCTAGGTTCTCAACACTCCAGTCTTCGACGATCAAACTCATCGTCATCAACAATGGAACGGACATTAAATTGTTATAATAGACGGTATCAAAGTCTTTGAATTTTGTTATGGTGATGCGCTTCCTCATTGTCAATACAAACGCAGCAGAACATAAGCAATTGAACAGCATCCATCCGTATCCGATGACACCAACGGATAGCTCTACACTCTCCATCGTGTTTCCTATGTCTGGCCATGCAGCAATTATAGAAGACACTACCTGTTGGATAAGGGAGGCAAGTGAATGAACGATGGGAAAAGCAATGATGGCAGAAAACAAGCATATTCGTAGAATAACTCGTCAGTCGCTTTACCATTAAGACAAAGCTCACTAACATCAGCCTCGTGACTGAACCTCCACACCACAATAGTTCGCCATATGCAATAAGTATTATAGTTAGGTTTTTGAATATTGTGTACACTGGAATCGACAGGAATTGCAAGCTAGATGAAAAATGTATTGTAAAGTTAGACATCAGCCGTCAAAACCGAAATAATGGATAATTGTTAAGCATACCTTTTTGTTGCACTATAGATCATAGAAATTAATAATATTACTACAGTTATCCCTATTATAGGAGAAAATGTGTCGATTTATAAACCGGATTTGAGCATTTGTAAAGGAAAAAACGCTACTTTTCGAGTAGAATGGCTTACATTTCCGTGCTATATCATAGTCTACATTACGATATGTAATAAGCTTGAATGTCTTAAATACATTAAGAAACAATACGCATACAGCAGCCTGAACAGAAAAAAAAACAAGTATTAAAATGAATATACATAGTTTTGCGTTTCTGTCTGTTGTCGTCTCAAATCACTGAATTGGAAAAAAGATTCTAATACGCAGTATAGATCTCAATCGTCACCATAAATCTCACTCTTTTACAATCTAACGCGTTACAAAACACGTAAACTACAACACATGTAAACTCAATCTGTACCTGCACCGTCAGTAAGAAAAAGTTCATATTAAAATCATATCCGGATAGAACATATTTGTTCGTAATAGTCATCAGAACACTAGCACTACAGTAGCAGGCTACAGGCAACATACTCTTGATGTAGGACTGTTCACTTGGTGTTGGTTGTGACTGTTGTGGTACTTTCTTGTCCATCTCTCCATTCACAAACAGTTTAACCTCCTCAACAGGATTTCTGTCCATCTCTGCTAGAGTCATGTTGTAGTCAAACTAGTTTTATTATTAGAGAAAATACAATAAATTAACATAAACGGTTTAAGAAAAAATTTTGTTAAATAGTTTGGAAGATAAGGGTGAGTGGTATGCACATTATAATTATACATTAATATTTCCGTTGAGACACGTTGAACATGGACCGTTTTATGCATGCATGGCTACTGATCGGCATGGCGTTGTGAATCAACATCAAGCATTTTCATAGTCAAATGTGTCGGAGGGCAAAACTACTCTTACTAAAAAAGCAGATGATAATCAGCTATTCCTATGATTCTATCGACTAATCTGTGCCACCCATACACATTCTCGCATTTGGTTCTTCCATACTAAATATGATGCCTACTGTGGTAGTATCTGGAGGTTCAGGTGCCGTGGGCAAAGCAACAATCAGTCTGTTTAGAAAACATGAGAATCCTGTATATGTAAGTATGATATAAATGCATGGTAGATTATTTGTATGTATGTAGGCAGCTTATCTTTACCTCCAACAAAATGTCTTGCATGCATGTGTTTGTTTGCACCAACAGAATGTCATTTCGATTGGAACAAAAATAAACCCGGAAGCGAATCATAACATCCTAGTACTTGCTGATGAGTCGATCGAATCCCAAGGAGAAAAGGTGATTCAACAGGCAGGATTGTTGTTAAAAGAAGGCGAAAAGTTTGACGCAATTATCTGTGTTGCTGGAGGATTCGTTGGTGGCAATGCTGCAAGTGACGGTACTTTATATGATAATAAATAGTATTTCTGGTTGTCGTATTATCTCTGCTAACACGATCGTACGTAATTTGTAGGGTTTCTGGCTTCAGCGGCTTTTAATATTAAAAAGTCATTGAATCCTGCTCTAATTGCGTCTCATCTGGCGGCCAAATACTTGAAAGAGTTTGTGTTATTCTGATGAATATTTACATACGCTGTGTTGACCAAAGTTTGTAAAATTAATTGTATTGCTATCGTGTGCCTTTGCCATCGCCCAGAGGTGGCCTTTTAACCTTAACCGGAGCAGCCAATTTAACTTCTACTCCTGGTAACTCTAGCAATGACATTAAGATAATTCAAAAGATTTCGATTGATTACTAAATCTCTCGCTTATACAGGATATATCGGATATGGTGTCGCTAAAGCCGTAATACATCATCTAGTGCGTAGTTTGGCATCCCCTGGCAGTGGACTTCCGAAAGATACTAAAGTTGTTTCCTTGTCACCGTAAGCAAACAAAGTATCCCCGTTTTCCCCATTTGATAAAGGCGCTTGTATGTAACATTTATCAATTTACGTTCAGCGCCGCTATTGACACTCCAGCAAACAGACAATTTAATATGCCGGCCTTGATTCCTTTGAATGCAATAACCCAGTGTGTATAGCATTTCAACTGAGTTTTATTACATCATTTGAATATGTTCTAATTTAGTCATTGTATTTAGGCGATTGCTTGACTGGACAACAGGTGCTATTCCTGTTCCTCACGGTAAAATCGTAGAGGTTGGTGTCGATAACAATGAGACAACTTGGAAAGAGCTATAAATACCACAATCCCATATCGTGAATGAATTGATTTTATCTGTGTACAAAAAAAAGTATTTGGAGCCAATAAACAGTAATATAGTCTGAATAAATTTATGATCGCAGCGATGTTTATTGATGTGATGCCTGCAAACTCTTTAAAAGATTAATAATTAACCAACATCCAAATGTCCAATTATACTATAACTATCGCGAGGAACTTTTATCCAATTATACTATAACAAAGTCTAGAATCAAACGATTTTACACAGTTGAAATCACGTGAAATAAACCATATACCTGTTCACCATTAATCATATAGCACTACCAAGCCCAACAAACACTTTGGTAGAATCCAACAGTCTGGGAGGAATCATATATCCCTCAATCATCAAACGGTCCATTCTGGTGGGCAGTCCTAGGCCATTCTTGTTCCTAGTCTCTCTCTCCCTCTCTTTTTCAGCAGCGTCCTTCAACACTAACTTTATATTTTTAAATGTATTCTCCATCTTTTCGATACTACATTCCTCCTCCTCATTGTCCACTTCATCCACA